CTGGAGAATCGACAAAATGTGGTAAAAATAAATGGAAGCCTTTCATACCCATTTTCTAATGAGTAGGGGACACCACAGGGATCATCACTGTCGCCATTGCTCTATAATATTTATTGTCACGACATCTTCCCTCCAACAAACCAGGTTACAGTTGCAAGTCCATATATCATACAATTTGCAGACGATACCGCTATTATATCACACCACAAGAATATATCCCAAGCTGTTCAATCTCTACAAATAGCACTTAACAGAGTGATTGTCTGGTTAGATAGGTGGAAACTAAAAGTAAATCCTGAAAAATCGCAATTTATAATATTTCATCACAAGATCAGCGACGCTTCACCAAAACTAGATATTCTCAACCACCAAATACTCCCTCAATCTCACATCAAATACTTGGGTATCCATTTCGACAATAAATTAAATTTCAAATATCACCTGTCAACGATGAAGAAAAAGACAATAATAAGGAGCAAGCATTTTAGAAACCTAACATACAAGGACGAGGGTATTAACATCAAAACTGCATGTCACATCTACACAACAATATGCAGACCAATTTTGGAATACGGACAAATAATTTTCAGTGCTTGTAGAGGACCTGCCATCCAGATAATAGAAACTGCAGAAAGAACTAGTCTCCGTAAAATTACAAAAATCAGACATCCTACAAACCCGCTTCATAATCCATCAAATGAAATGTTGTATCAAAAAACTGAAATTGAACCAATCATTCAAAGATTTCAAAGTCTTACCGAGAAATTTGGCAGCAGACCATCCAACATAGCGATAATCAGTCCATTCATTTTGGAAATTCCACAAGGCCTTATCAGGAAAAGACAATATCCAGAAGAAACTGTTTTCCAAATTATACAAAATAATAGACTATAAAAAGCTAACATAAGTACATAGGTAGTTGTGTTGTACGTACCTGCATTGTTCATTTAATTTTTTTTTTTTTTCTCCATCACATGTGGATTTATCTGTTTTGTACTTATACTTAGCAAATTTTGTAAATACATATAAAATTGTAGATATCAAAGGCTGAAAGACCTCGGTCGATGGCCCTTTGAACAATTAGTTCAATAAATATTGTTTACTACTACTACTATTAAAAAACTAAGAGGAAAATTAAAAATTTACAAAAAAAATCGGGTATTACAAAAGCAATGAAAATAAAAAAAATTGAAAAATACTGGAAATTCAAAAATTATGTAAAATTACAAAAATAATTGAAAAATTACATAAAATACGGAAACTACAAAAAAATAACAAAAATCATTAAAATTGCAAATATCATGAAAATTTGAAAAAATTACAGCACTTACAATTATTGAAAAATTAAAATGAGAATTGCAAAATTACGAAAAAAAAACGGGAATGGAAATACTTATCGCTGTTCCAGAAGAAAACCGACGTAACTGCAATTTTTTCCAAAACTGAGTTAAGTACACTAATGAAAAAAGAAAACTCGATTTCATTTGGTGAAAAATTGCCGCAATTGTACTACCGAATTTGGCCGCTAGATGGTAGTTGCGTCGTTACTCCATTATAGGTCCTTTGCGCCGGACAACACCGACGCATCGATCAGTTGTGTTAATAAGTGGAATCAGTTTTGGAAAAATTCCGACGTAAGTGTAGTTTGTGTCGTTATTCACCCAACAACTGAGATTGATGTACGGAAGTGAAGTACAAGCAACACTTTGGTACAAAAGTTATGTTATTAACTCTATAAGTATTATTTTTTACGTTTTTTGTTCATTTTCTTTGCTGAGCATTAATTTTCAAACAGAATTTGTGTGTTATGTTATGAGATAAAAAGGTTGACCCAACTGAGATTTTATATGTTTTATTTTAGAAATATAACGACGTAACTACAAAATCCAAAATGCTCCATCAATTTTAAAAACTTTTTTTATTCAATTAGTGCATACTTAAAGTGGTCCAAAAAATATTATTAAGGGTTTTATTTTTAGTCAGAATGATTATTTATCTCCTTGAAAATTTTAAAATTAATTAATTGCAATTTGTTTGTTGCCTCTCCTGTAAAATTATTGTTTTCGCAAATACGTCGGTTTTCTTCTGGAACAGCGTTATGTACTTAATGGAAATTATTTTAAAAAATTACGGGAATTTCAAAAACTACGTGAAATTGCAAAAATCATTGGCAAATAACGGAATTACAAAAATCACGAGGATTACAAAAATCACGGGAATTTCAAAAATTATGTAGAACTGCGAAAATCATGGGTAAATTGCGAAAGTTATATTTGAAAAAAATTAGGAGAATTATAAAATTACGAAAAAAATCACGGGAACTTCAAAAATTATTAAAATTTCGAAAACATTGGAAAATAACTTATAGTGGAAAAGTAACAAAAATTTCGAGAATTCCAAAAATTACGGAAAATTTAAAAAGTTACGGAAACCACCATTATTAAAAACTAAAAAGGAGAATTATAAAATTTGAGTATTACAAAAGCAATGGAAATTATTGGCAACTTCAAATATTACGTAGAACTACAAAAGTCATTGATAATTTAAGTAAATTACGGAAATGATAAAAATGAAAAATAATGAATATTACAAAAAATCATGGAAATTTCAAAAAAATACGGGAATTACAATTATTGAAAAATTAGGAGAATTATAAAATTACGAAAAAAAATAATGGAAATTTCAAAAATTATGTATAATTACGAAAATTATTGGAAAATTACGTAATATGGAAAAATATTAACAAAAATCACAAAAATTTCAAAAACTCATGGAAATTACATTAATTATTAAAAAAATTGAGAGAAGAATTATAAAATTAGAAAAAATCGAGTATTACGGAAAACAATGAAAATTATTGAAAAAAATTACGCGAATTACAAAAATTACGTAGAATTGCAAAAAATGATTGGAAATTACGTTTTACGAAAAAATAATAAAAATCACGAGAATTTCAAAAATAACGGAAATTTCAAAAACTTACGGGAATTGTCATTATTGAAAAATAAAATAAAGAAATTACGGGAATTAAAAAAATAACAGAAATCACGAAAATCATAAAAAATTACGGAAATTAGGAAAACCATTAAAAAAAATTAGGACAATTAGAATAATTATAGGAATTGCAAAAATTACTGAAATTACGAAAAATTTCGGGACTACGGAAAATAAATAAATTTTTAAAAAATTATGGAAATTAGAAAAGTTACAAAAGTTACGAAAATTCTGGAAATAAATCACGGAAATTTATTAACGAATTGCAAAAATCGAAAAAACCTATGATGATTTTCAAAAAGTTAGAAAATAACAAGAATTACAAGAATCAGGTATTACAATTACAAAAATTATAAAGACCGGGAAATTATAAAATTTCAAAAAACGTCCAAGAAATTTAAAAAATTACAATTGAAAATTACGAAAACTATCAAAGTTACGAGAATTATAAAAAATTACGGGGATTACGAAAAAGTTACGGGAATTACGAGAATTAGAAATTACAAAGGCTTATGGGAAATGATTTTGAAAAATGCCCAGAAAAAATACGGAAATTACGGGAATTACCTAATAATTTTTGAAATATACAAAAACGTGGAATTATAAAAATAACGGAATTTTCTGAGAAACTACGAAAATTTGAAGAACAACAGGAATTAATAAAAAAATTATAAGAATTATTTGAGAAATGACAGGAATTAAAAAATTTCTAAAGAAAAATTACGGAAATTACGAGTCTTCGAAAATTATAAAATTTGTTATAATGAGCTCTTTATTTTCTTCTTTTTCTGGAAAATTTTCACAATTTTCTTGCCAGTTTCCCAAAAAAACTCAAAATGTAAGAGGGTGAATTTTGCCTAAAAAAGTCAATTTTTCAGAATTTTTCCTGGAGTGATTTTTGACTAGAAAATTTTTAAATCTTTCTATAATGTGCTCCTCACTTTTCTTTTTCTTCTGAAAACATTTCACAATTTTCCCTTTGCCAGATTTCTAGAAATAAATTAAAATGTAAGAGGATGAATTCTCCTTAATTTTGCTGAAAAGTAAGTTTTTCAAATTTTTTTTATGACGTCATCGATGACGTAAGTAAGTACAAAAAGTGCAAAAAAAATACATAAATGCCGAATAGGAGTGCTAATTTTTGCTTTAAGCACCCTCCTAGTTGCGCCTATGCTTTCTGCGTACTTAAATTCGTTGGCATATGTTTCATTAGAGGGAAGATAAGTTTATTGTTGATTAGGGTAAAAATTGGGGTTTTTTTGAGGGGTAGTTGGAGCGTATCTTGGTACGAATTGCTTCGAAGTGGATGCATTTTGGGTTCTCTTTTGCAGACCATTGGTTTTTGGTTATGGTTTGCGGTGCCTGAGTAGTTAGCTGTTGTCGTTTTTTGGAAATTTTGATTTGGGTATTGAGTGAAGTTTGAACAACTGGAAGCTATGTTCAATTTTTCTGCAAGAAACGCATTTTATGGATGATTGTGGTTTGCTGATCAAAACTTTTTGAACAGGAGGTTTTAGAGTCTTCTCATTCTCAAAATAGTAAAGTTGGATTTCTCTCCTGATTCTACATTGATCATCTAAAAGAGAGTGTGGGCTTCCACTGATAATCTGGCCAAGGCAAGGTTCTAGGCCTGTAAGTAGAGTGTTTAGGGCCATAGATTCCACAAGAACTGTGCTTCTTTTTGATCTACTCTTTCAAGGTGTGGTAACTTTTGGATAGAAGAATGCATTTTTGCATTCAGTACTTGGACTCTGTTGTAGAAAGTAAGGGGGACTTGCCAGGAAGTTGTTTGAGTCATTGGAGGTCATGGATAAAAGAGTAAATTCAGAAGTTGTTTGATTTCCAAATAGCATGGCATTCTTCTCTTAAACATCAATTTTCCATTCAATTCGTTTTATTTTTGTAAAAATCTCAATCCTTTATTTTCTTCTCCTGTAATAAAGGCGAGCGCAGTGTTTATAACTCACAATATTAACATAGTTACTCATTAATTTTCTTTTCTCCAGGTTCAGAAAAACGTTACGAAGACTGTCCGATCCGCCTCAACGGTCAGCAATTCGGGCACAGACACAAATGCGAATGGAACAGCAAATTTGTATTTATAAATTGCAACAACAAAGCCAAACCACCAAAGTACAACTTTTGGGGCGGTATCAGATTCGCCGAGCCCGACTTCGAGCAGCGGCTCTATTCCCACAGAGTTCACGATGTCCATACTCACAGTACCGTCCAAGAAACTGAGTCAGTTTTGAGGTTTGTTGCAATCAACGGAGCTGGAATTTTGCACAATGAAAAATCACCAGCTGTGCAAAGTATTATAAGAAGTCCCAAGATTGAGTATGTGAATGTGTCTTCGTCGGCTAGTCATGGGATTAATTTGATATCACCATCTGGCACGATGGTGTTGAAAGGCAACAATATTCATGATTCATTGGGTGTTGGTATCAATATAGTGTCTTTAAGTGGAGAAGGTAGAGAAAGTGACGAATCCAGTTTTACTCCTTTGAAGGAAATGAATATTCCTTATAATCTCTTCAGTCTTATAGATATTTGTGATACAACTAAGGAAATTAAAGTAGAAGAAAAAGTTTTGTTGTATTACAAATACGACAACCATCCAGTGAATTGCATTAAGATATTTAGAAGTGTTTACAATATTAAACCTCTAGGACTACGTTTTTTGCAATTCAACTTATTCAATTCATCCGTGGCCCATGGAATTCCAGATTTTGTTTCTCTGCACGACGGAGATATATACAACGTTTCATCTCAAGTGATTGACACTGTAACAATGACTTCGACCAATCAGAAGAAGCTTTTCAGGACTAAATTACCAAGCCTGAGTGTCAAGTTGTTTGCTAATGGTGCTTCTTCTGACCATGGATTCATTGCTGAAGTGGTAACTTTACCTATAGCTGCCATAGCTTTCAGTAAGTATTTTTGTTTGTTATTTTATAATTATTAAATTAATCTGTCTTCCATGTTTTTCAATTGTCTTTGCTTATTGACTTCATCCTTTTTACCCCTACCTTCAAATTCTTGTTAAAATGATAAAAATTACATAAGCTCAATGAAATTTGCAATACCTATGGGTTTTTCCAATATAAATAAATATATTTCAGGTCGTGACGTCCAGCACAATATCTCATCTTCAATAATAAGCAACAACACCCAAGCTGCAGTACTCTACATGGGCGCCGGTGAAGTCAACCCGATAGTTACTATCGAAAGGAATCAATTCAAAGGCAATTGCAGACAACTTTATGGCAATTTTACTACGTGCAAATCGGCCATCGAGATGGACATTCAAAATACACAAACAGTGTTTTTCAGAGTAAGAACTTTTATTATATGATCAGCATAACATTTCAACACATATTTCCTTATTGTTCCTCATAAATTGGAAGAAGACACAATATATGATGTTTCAACAACAAACAAATTACCTTTAATATCAATTCCAGAGTAATCTAGTAGATCAAAACCAAGGTGGTCTCTATATCAAAGCAGACTCCAGAGGTTCGGCGACTTCGCTTCAAGGCTGGATTCACAACAACTTATTCGTCAACAACTCCAATTTGCCCACTCTGTATGTAGAAGGTCGTCAATCGTCTCCTTACCAAGAAGTTACCATTTACCGAAATTACTTTACCAGAAACCAGGCTAGATATCACAATAATATTGTGCTAAAACAAGTCTTGTCTAATTTCACTTATAATTTTGTCAAGAGGAACGTTGGACAGCAAAATTTGGAGGTTTCCGGATTCGATAAAGTGAGATTGAATATTTATCAGACGACTACCCATAATGGCTTTTACAAGTGAGAAATAATATTAATTAATAAGGTGTTATTTTTACATGTAATTTTTTTAGTAATTATGCTTTGAAACGAGAAAGTAAATCGACGATTATTGCTGGAACAGCTGGACAACATTATGTCGACAATATATTCTTCAATCCGGATAATGATTATGAAATTATTACCGTCAATAGATCGCTGTAAGTAGATTTTGTTTTGAAAACCTTATTTTTTGACGAACAAGAATATTCTGAATTTATTGATGGGCCACTTTTATGCTCGTTTTCGGGATTTTTGGCCTCGTGCATGTCTGGTGACTCGTGGAAGGTTTCTTTAGATGGTTACCTGCCTCTTTTGGAAGTAAATTCTCAACTGCCGAATGTCACTTAATTGTTCCAAGAGAGTCTTTTGCCTTTTCAGAACCCAGTAGGTGAGCTTCCAAGCTCAGAAAAACTGTGAGTTATTTGGCCATTGAGCATCATAGGATAAGCATTGTCGGTATCATAATTTTCTCATCAAGGAAGATTTTTATTTGGGTCAGAACGAGCCTCACCCATTCCATGGTGCTTGGTTTATCCTTCCCATAACTCGCCTCGATATCTTGTTCAACTTTATTTGGGCTCAATTCATATTACAAGACGATGTTATAAGCATACCTGAGATGGTACTTTTATCTATCTCTATCTATATATGTATAGGATGTTTCACAGGTTATAATTCCACTAGCTTATACTCTGTGATGCTGCATCTAGTTCGATTGGTGTTGCCCTATTTGTTGAGCCCTGCTTCTAGTGCAAATTCCACTCAGCATGAGATGCTTGCACCAACTGATCCAGTTCCAGGTTTTGCCAGAAGAATGGAGGAACTGCAATAGACCCCGTCCCGTGGCCCTTCTTTTTCTCACTCATATGAACCACATACTCCTAGTTTCAAGGACATTAGTCGATGATCTTTAAAATATGTGTAACGGTTCCCGACTTCTATCCCATACCTAATGTCTCAGCTACGCTTAACAAATTGCGAGATGCTCGTTTTCTCAGCACGTTGGACATTAAGTCAGCGTACTGGCAGATTCCAATTTCTGAGGAATCAGAACCTCTGACCGCTTTTACTGTCCTGATTTCAGTTTAGGCGTATGCCATTTGGCTTAACTAACGCGCCAGCTGTGTGGCAGCGGCTGATCGATCGCGTTATTGGTGTTGAGATGGAATCTTCAGTCTTCGTCTACCTTGATGACGTAATAATCTGTACAAGTACATTCGAAGAGCATATTAAGGTTTTACGTGAGGTCATCAGTCGGTTGGCTCGCGCTGGACTAATCCTAAATAAGAACAAATGCGTGTTTTGCAAGCCAGAATTGGAATATCTGGGATACGTGGTGAATTTTTCAGGCCTTTTGGTCGGTAACATCCCCTCTCAAATCCGTAACTGAGATTCGTCGAATCATTGGTCTTGCCTCTTGGTATCGTCCCTAATTTTTCGACCCTTATGGCTCCCTTTTGTGCCCTGACAAGGAAGAATATCACATTTATCTGATATGATTCTTGCGAGACTGCCTTTTGTACGATCAAGGAACATCTAGTTAAGGCTCCTGTATTGTCATGTCCAGATTTCGATAAACCCTTCATCGTTTAATGTGATGCGTCTGATTTTGGGCTTGGTTCTGTGCTTATTCTATTCAGATACATGACGAAGCCGAGCATGTGATATGTTATCTGAGTCGATCACTCACCAAGAACGAACTGAAGTACACAACGACCGAGAAGGAGTGCCTTGCCGTTCTCTTTGCAATCGAGAAGTTATGTCCTTAGATTGAGGGTACTAAATTTACGGTAATCACTGATATAATTTTGAAACCATCCAAATGTCATTCCTGACACTTTATCTCGTTCTATCCCAGTTATCCATGCTGTTGACACTTCTCAGTTGTTGTCCGATGACGTTCTATCTTCTCAAATAAAGGATCAGTAGTACCTGGGCATGAAGTAAAAGGTATCAGGCCGCTCCACTGAATTTCTCCTGTGGTGGGTCGATAGGGAAAAGCTTTATAAGCGCGCTCATTCTACACCATACCCTGGTGGTCTACTTGCCGTTTAGTCATTCCCCGGGAAAATTATACGCTGACATCACCTGTGGTCACTTGGGGGTATCAAAAACTCTCTCACGGATCAGTCTCAAGTATTATTAGCCAAAAATAAAAACTGACATAGCCCGCTTCATCAGGCGCTGTCATATCTGCCTTGAGACTAAACCCCTCCAAAAGGCTCCAGCTGGGCATATGCTGAGTCAACAGCCTACTGCTATTAAACCGTGGCAGGTTATTAGTGTGGATATCGTTGGTCATCTACCGCCATCCACTTCTGGGTAAATTCTGTCTGTTTTTCCCGCTTTGCAGCGCTACAGCGTCGCGTCTGTTACCGTGAAATGATTGGAAGATCACGTCATACTTGTTTACGGGGTACCTCGAAAAATTATAGCTGATAATGGTCCTCAGTTTTGCAATAAACTCTTCCGCGAGATGCTCGCTGGTTATGAAATTGACTTGAGATACACTGCAAACGGGTACATCGAGTGCTTAAGACCATTTTAACGAGCTATGTAAAGCAGGATCATCGACATTGGGAAACTTCTCGCTAAGGCTGCACGGCTATCCGATCTGCTAGACACGACGTAACCGGTTTTACTCCAAACTTCGTTGTTTTTGGAAGAGAACTTCAACTTCCTCGCAGCAATGACGTTGACAAATAACTCCGATCCCTTGGCACGCTTCCGCGATTTGTTAGAACTGTTTAGCGATATTCACAAGAAATTAAAGCAAACCTATGAAAAGTCACGACACGGCTATGATCTGCGCTGACGTGGTGACCGTTTTGTTGTGAACTTACCAGTTTGGAAGAGAAATTACCATCTCTCTGATGCTGCCAAGAATTTCACATTTTGGCTTGCCCTAAAATTCTCTGACCCTTTCATCAAATCTCCCTGGTCATATGAGTTGAAAGTCCAGAACGGTCGATCAGTGAGTGTTTGGCATGCGAAAGACCTGGAAGATCATCCTCCTGATATTGACGCCCTGATTTGGATGGAGTTCAAAAGAGGTCAACTGAAAAGTAATGAGTTTGAGATTAGTAATGGGTTGTGATTTAGGATTGGCATGCGGAAAGTGCCTTTACCACCCATAACGGCTTCCGTTGCGCGCGGTAAAGTATCACTTTACGCATTTGTTAGGTAAATAACTAATAACTAATCAGAAGTTTTTCTCTCTCTTAATAGTAGTTCCAGGATTTTCAATTAATGTATCTGTATCAATGTATGATTCCACTTCCTTGTGATGATAAGTTTATTTAATCGATATTTGACACATAATAATTCGATTGACCAATAATTAGAATCGATAATAAATTAGTAAAAGTATTCCACTAATTGATTTTTCTTTTGCATGGCGCATGCCCAGATTTGAGTTCAATAGGTAAGTCAAGGAAAGTAAATGTTGTGTTTTGATAGTACATTGTTACGCACGTCTGTAAAATTTTGCAATTTTTAGTTTGTGGCGAAGGGAAATTATGTTTGCTTGACCACGCATGCTTGTCAAAGTTGTAGTTACGTGTGTTACACATTACCTGTACCTACTATACAAGGTGATTTACTTAGCCCGTGCATTAGCTTGCAGGTGGATTAGATGCTATCTGCAATCCAATAATTGAATTCTAATGAACGGGCTACGACACAAAAACATTTTACAGCTTTACGTTTACAGTAAATATGTTCTTAATCGTTGCTTATTGTGATTCTTGTCTCAACCTTCCAGCCTACGGTGTTGGCTCAAGTTTTTCACTTGAAACTTTCTAAAACAATTCTTCCTTAGCTCGATGCAACTTTGGAATACCAGAATCGACGCCATTTACAATTATTGGGGTATCAATACCACTCTAGCGGTGCGAGGACGTATCAGAGACCAAATGGATGATCCCAGACTATTAGAAGTAGCTTTCGAACCATTCTACATGAACAACAGGAGCATTCTGAACAATAAATGCCCGCCAGGTTGGGAATTAGTTGGAGAGACTTGTTATATGTATGTTGGAGCTCCAATGACTTTTTGGGAGGCTAAAGCTTTTTGCCAAGTAAGAATTTGTATTAATATATGTATATTTCAATAATAATAATTTTACTTTGTAGGCTGACAACGCTTCAATGCCTTATTTGATTGGCAATATCAACTATATGCCTGTCTATGACTTTCTTAGCAGGCAATATCAATGGTATATGTATTCGGATAGAGTTTGGGTACAGCACATAGACAAAATTAATGAGTGTACAATTTTCGCCTATCAAACAGTTGAAGTGGATGATTGTAATAGACGAAGTCCTTTTATTTGTGAAATTGGTAGGTAATTACACTTGAATTGTCTCATAAAGCTAAATTATATATTTTTCTAGATCCAAAAGTTTCCATCAAAATCCTGCCACTAGCTGACGATTTTGTTACAATTTCGGTGCTTAGTAGCTTGGCATTAGCTATTCTACTTATTGTAATTGTGATAGCTTTATGGTGGTACAAGTCCAAGTACAGGCAAGCTCAACGATTGGAAAGAAGAAATAGCATCAGACAGAGCCTCCATTCATTAAAATCAGTCGGATTGTCTTCTACGTCTTTCGCCGATCCTAATTATAGACGAAAAATGGCACAATTGGTTAGTATTGTTGAACTTGACCCACACTATTATGTTTTTTTTTCCAATACAAATTGGCAACATCAGCATTTTAGTTTTAAGTTATGCAACGAAAACATCTCATCTACCAGTTTAATAATATTATTGTTGACTTTATTATGAAATTTCGTGAACCGCAAAATCGATAATAGTAACCTTCAATTATTATTTTTTTTAACAGTTATTGTGATTGCGATAATTTTAATTATTATGCTTCGAATGCAATACAATGTATGTATTTTCGTAACATTTTGAATGGGTTATTCAAAATTTAGATACCTATAACCCTTCTTCTTTTTCGTCAACCCGTGTCCATCCATTGTCAAATATAGGCCTCTTCCTCTTGCAGGTTTTTCCATGTCCCGCGATCTCTCGCTAATCTCATCCATTGTACCCCTGCCATCGTTCTGACATCGTTAATCTTCCTCTTTTTCGGTTTCCAGTATTTGTTCATTTCGTATTTTATCCTTTAAGGTGATTCCCAGCACTATCCTCTCCATGGCCCTACTATGTCCCATTTAATAATTCTTAATTCTCCCTCTAGTTCCTCTAAGTGGTCGCTATACCTTATAAAATCTCATATAGTACCTATTTAGTGATAACCTCTCCTCCAATGTATTGTTTATTTGTTCCAGAGCACAAGATCGACTGACACCCTAACCAAAACATCAGACTACAAGAAAATAATGAGCAACAGCTCAATAGACAGCATGGAAAAATCCGCATACAATTCCTCAATCGAAGATGACACTTCTTACGCATACGAAAGCCACAACCCCAACCCGTCTTTCGCTTACAACGCCCCCGTAGAATACCACAAGTCGCCTACAAAATACGAAAATCCTTATGCCAAACCTGGTGCAAACGCATTCGATTTGGCTTTCAAAAATGAAGGATTCAAAGATAATTCGACGTTTGCTTCAAATAGCAACTACCAATCGCACGCAGGCAGTGGTCAAGACGAGTCTTCAAACGATGAGACACCTATAATAACCCCATATGCTTCAAAACAAGTTGCATCGTATCCTCCAAGTGAATATTACACTACTGACACTTTACCTTTACACGAAGCTAATACTTCACGACCTCTAGGATTAATGCAAGAACTAAAATCTAGACTGCCTAATAAACCTCCCACACCTCCAACCAGAAAATACTCGCCGACCTACTCAGAACAATTAACCCAGATGGCTTACAGTCCTGACTTTCATACAGTGGGTTTAGCTCATCCGAGTAGCTCGCCAGAACTGAAAGATCACGCATTCACTTTGCCCAAAGCCAAAACCCGAGCTAAAAGTGAAGTTTTGCTGGAGACGAATTTCGATTATACTCCGGAAGAGGAAATGAGTTTTGGTGATTCTGGAAGGTGGAAAAGTCAACCGTTGGAAACTGCAATGTAAAATTGTGTGGGCATTCACTTTTTTAGACTGTGATATTAATTTGTTAAATCGAAATATGCCTGAGTATGTGGTGACTTCTACTTTGTGACTCCACTTTTGAATCAGGTCCTGGCCTGAGGTTTGGAGATCTTGGAGGCCAACTATATGAGGACCATGAAGACAATGAACCGACAACCTACTTGAATAATATATTATCAAGCTCCAAGCTAGTCTCTGGCAATATAGCAGAATCCTTTAACATAATTCTAATTTATCATACCTACAGTTTGTAAAAGATCTCATGTGTGTGTGAACAAATAATGTGTTGTTAATCAATTGATTTGTTAAGGTCTATGAATGTTGTACCAAAGTTATTTTTACAAGACTTTTCAAATTGTTATTGTACGTGCCTTAGCAAAGAGCACAATAAAAAATGTAAATTTTGTACATAAATATATAAAGTTAAGTGAGTAAACCCCGTACTAATTTTGTAAAAAAATTTTACCGTCCGTACTAAAGTAGAAGATGATTTTTATCATATTTCAAAATATCCTTTTTCCATTTTTAATTTAAGAAGTATAAGCTTAAAACGGATGTGATACTAGCCTATTATAATATCCAGTTAAACTGACTTAAGACATAAGATGCTTATTTATTGAATAATTTAGTTTTAATTATTTTGTTTTTTTTTTATTATTTGTTTAGTTTACATGATTGTGAATTGTTTTAAAAATTGTTGCTTATTATGTGTTCACTATCTTATAGTAATTATAGTTTTTTTCTTATAAAACGTCTAAACAATAATTTACTGATAAAACTTGGACTTATGTTAAGTAAATAATATGTAGTTTGTAGTTTCTATAATGCGGTATGTATATTTTCGAAGAAAATGTAATTTTGTACTGATGTACAATGTTTTAATTTAAGCTTTTTTTAGGGGAAATAAATAATACTGATTTTTTTGATAAATTATTTGTTGCATTTTTTTTTTCAGATTGCGACATGATTTCCTAAATAATTGTTTTGTTCTGATTTCTCATAGTCTCCTATTCCATTCTCTGTTCGAAATTTGATCAAGGGCGGCCCTAAGTCTTGTGCTGTTCAATATTGTTTGTTACCAATCTTCAAATTCCGTGTTCTATAAGTAGAGGATCTTCTGTTTTTCGTCCAATGACTTTTTAATGGATACTTTTGGGCGATCACGTCCAGAGGTTGGTCACTGGGAGCATCGCTGAGTCGAGATAAAGGTATAGTGAAAAACACAATTCTTTGTTATATACATGCTCTTTCTGTTGTTAATTCTCCAGTTCTTCTCGAAAATTCATGTTCAGAAAATAATCAGGAGGATCAGATAGCTATTCCAGCTTACAGTGCATGTAATTATGCATCGTCGGGCCAAGTTTTGCTTGCTATAGTAAAGGTTTCAGATGGTAAAGGCACTGATTTAGTTTGTAGGGCTCTACTCGATAACGGTTCGAATTTGCCAAAAGCAGTTTAATAGAATCGAAGCCCAACCCGCCCAATTTTTATAAGCCCATAACTTTTTCGGTTTTAGACCGATTTTCAAAAACAAAAAATTAATTTGTGGGTATTTTTATTAGCAACAATTTTGTTCCCTTGTAGATTTTCAAAAAAGTTTAAAGTTTTTGAGATATTTCCAAAGAAATTTAAAAATAACACAATTTTTTGAGTTTAAAGCCCGATTAAGTAGGCGAGTACGGCCCATGCGATTTAGTGCGATTTTTAAGGAAACATTGTCGACCTCCTAAAGAAGGTTTCCTGAAAATTTCAACTTGTCCCAAATTTGTTCCGGGTTAGACCCCTAATTTATTGGCCTACTGTGAAGAGAAAGAGAAGCATTGTATCTATCCACTTTACAGTACAGTAATTTATCGTCTAGTTATAAGTTATCTTCTACTTTTATTTATCTAGATTCTGATAATTCAATAAGGTCTGGAGTTTCCTTTTTTTAGTCGGTTATTGGTTATTGTACCATCGTCACCAAAAGTATCTGGGACACAAATAATGCATAATTATCTCCTGGACTAATTCTACTGTCATTCATTTTAATGCATTTAAATTATAGGTTGACAAATATTTGACAATAAAATTCATATAATAGTACAAGAGCTTATATGCTGCTGTCCTAGTTACTTTTGGTGACGATGGTACATTCTTTGTTTCACACATAAATTTTAGAATCAGTTTCGAAGTAGACTTTGAACGCTGGGGTCCATGTTATGCATTAAATAATATGAATGAATATTCAACTTTATTTAAAACTTAAAAAGTACGCGAGCAGAACTAGCCTGAAAAATGATGTTGAATGAAATCTTTTGAAAAAATTTTTTTGAAAGTAAGCATATACCTACTATAGAATATGATTCAGCCCCGCCCCCAGCCCAGTAGTCAGGCAGTTGTCAAAGGTTGAATATATCATTCTCTAATTGGTTCATGCGTTGTCTTTATACATAGTCCACTGTGTTTTCCTGCAAGACTGTCATGTCTCTGTCCAGAACGAGGTTCGTTGCAAGTTTTGATGAAGACCTCTGAACCAGTCTTTACATAAAATTTGTGAGTTTGAGTTGTCCAAGAATTGAGTTGTGACTATTCACGTCAACAAAAGAAAGTCATATGACTTATGTCATATTAACCGCTCTTTTATCAACTTGTCTTGTCATGTATGTCTTTGTAATAATAATATAACTCATTAATTATTTCAAAAAATTAGCTATGAACAATAGACTGATGTATTATCAGTGGTGTATCGAGGAGGAGGGCGGAGGAGGCGGACCACCCCGGGCGCCACTTTTGGGAGGGCGGCAAAATTGCCGCTTCTTGTACCCTCCAAGACTTGACTGTAACCAACATCATTATTGAAGTGAAAACTTTTTTAGGCGCGTTTAGCGAAACAAAACGAATTGTTAACGCTCATTCGGTCGAATACAGTCGGCTCGAGCCGAGTTCAGCCAAGCGAGAGAAAAAAAAAACAGTCAGCAGTGCGGGAAAGAGAGATAGCACAATTAGGATTCAATCGCGACTCCCCCTAGAACAAATTCCGGTGACGCTGCCGATATGATGATTGGAAAAATATTAATTGCTTGTAATAGGTTGTCTGGTAATGACAAACAGAGAACGCCATCGGATGGTTTTTAGGACATTTGCATCAAGGTTGTTTGAGAGAGGTAGATTGCCTGATAACTTTCATGGCGTTATCTGTATGCCTAAACATAATGCAAATCTCCATAAGACAGCCCAGATGCGACATCAAGTTACCCATTACCAGACCAACGTTCCTAAAGTTAATAGGTTACCTGGTAATGGGTAACTTGATGACACATCTGGGGTACCATATAGATATTTGCATTAGTTTCGAGGCATACAGATGACGCTCGAGATGACGTCATAAAGTTATCAGGGGCGGGATTGTCAACCTCTTGTCGCAACCTATCGTCCCAACTATGCGCATCGCCTTTTTACAAGTGCTGGGACGTTACGTATCGACAGATTGAGAATCCCACCAGGACTGAGACTCTGTAACGAAGATATTTTCTCTATCTCTATTGACGCCCCCCCTCTATTAATTTCGAAAAGAGAGAAAAAGACAGCAAGTGCCATAGCATTAAGGATAATGATCTCTATCTGTTACAGAGTCACAGCACAAGCAACCTACCACCTTTAAACAACCTTGTTCCAAACCACAAATGCCAGGATTCAATATAGCGGCAATTAAACTATCCAAGATGCTGTCAAACTTAAATTAAAATGTCGGCCAAGAGGCACACAAGCCTTCTGTTTGCTTGTCAAAGTCAGGTGTTTTGGATAAGCTTTGACTATCGAAGGTGCTGTCAAACTTTAATTACAATATCTGCCAAGAGGCAGTGGCGTAGCCAAAACAAACGTGGGCGTCGGCGACATCTAAATTGCGAGGCCCTTTTTATGTATGGTGGTCATAATATTTCTTGTGACAAAAAGCTGGATATAACGACAGGGACGAGTAGCCGCTGGAAGGCAGGGGAATTTTTTGAGTCTCGCGCCACTTTTTTCGAAATTTCTTGGGGATAAAAACTCTAAAAACCATAGCTTTGGAGACCAATGCCGGATTCTAAGGCACTTAATCTAAAGCCTTGGAACTTGGAAGAGTCCTTATACTTCCATCACCTTAGAGATCTTAAAAAGTATTGAGGCTCATGACTGAAAACTCTGGTGATTTTGAAGTTTCTGAAGACTCCTTTATTAAATATTTTGGAAGAAGGACTTTACTGAGCTAAGATCAGAAGATGCAAAAGATATTGGCGTCTTGATCAATTATTCAAGAGCCATTGCAGACTATGGATTCTAGAGATCCTGGAGGTTTCAAAATGTCTCGTAGATAAAGACTCTAAATACCACAGCTTTGGAGTTGAAGACCAATGCAAGATTCCAAGGCACTTGACTTAAAACCTTGAAATTTCGAAGAATACTTATACTTTGCAAAACTTAGAGATCTTGAAAAATCTTAATTGAAAACTCTTGGGATTTTGAAGTCTCTGATGAAGACTATTTTTTTTTCAAATATTTTGAAATAACTTTACTGAGCTAAGAGCTAAGAAGACTTTAAATACCAATGCAAGATTCTAACGCACTTGATTTGAAGCCTTGAAACTAGGAAGAATCCTTATACTTTTAACACCTTAGAGATTTTGAGGCTCGTGACTGAAAACTCTGAGGATTTTGAAGTCTCTGAAAACTCATTTTTCAAAATATTTTGAAATAAGGACTTTACTGAGCTAAAATCAGAAGATACCAAAGATGTGGGCGTCTTGATCAATTTTTCTAGGGCCATTAAAGATTGAAGATTCTGAAAATCCTGAAGGTTTCGAAATGTCTTAAGGATAAAGACTCTCAAGACCATAGCTTTGGAGACCAATGCAAGATTCTAAAGTACTTGATCTTAAGCGTTGGAACTTGGAAGAATGCTAATACATACTACAGAATACTACGTACGAAATAACAATATTTAGTCGAAAATAATAATATTTTTCAATTTTTCGCTAACAAATCCTTCCGACAATCTATGGAAAAAATAAAAACCATATAATTTGAGAGTTCTAGGTTATTTTGCAGTAGAATTAATGATGTTTAGTGAATTCTCTAATATTTAGTTAAGTTTCGTATAGGATTAAGGTTATGAGTTTTCTCAGCGAGCAAAATTTGACAGATGTTACGTGATTTGACATGTGATTGGGCGGAAAATTATGATTCCGCCCCGGGCGACAATAGCCTATGCTACGCCACTGTGTATTATCAAGGAATATTATTTTGTCCTTATACATATAGGCGCCGGAATTTCGAAATTACTATGGGGGCTCGTGCTCCAAAAATTAATATAAGTAGAATCAATTAGACAGATAGGACTAGGCTACTACACACATAGACTTAAATGTGAAGATACCCATTTCGCTGCAGGAGCGCTACGCTGGATCATTGATCGTCCCTGCATATGATTAAAATTCTTGCATCTTCGGCAGCTCGGCTATACTTGGCTTTAGCAGCACCATTGGCGTAGCCAGGATTTTGCCTTGGGGCGAGGGAAAATTTGAAGGAAGTGATCCTTGTAGCAGTTGCAGCTCCGCCGCAAGCGCTGCATGAGGGAAAGCGCCGCAGGCGCGAAATTTTTGGGTCCTTCACGGTATTTTTGGGACTTCTAATGGCGGAGATGCGGCCATTTAAACAAATTTCGATAAGAATATATAGTAGAGCTTCAGCGTCGGACTGGGCCAAGAGGCCCGGGTGGCATAACGATTTAAGGGGCCTGCTGCCTGCTGCTCGCCTAGGAGAGCATTTATGTCGACCAACAAACCAAATTATGATAATGATCAAGTAGGCAAGAATGTTTGGATGTTTTTATTGTCAAAGATATACATTTATAAAATCCAAAATTAGCCAATGGCATGTAATATTGACAGTTGAGTTGAAGAGGGCGCTTGTGTACTTGGAGCTCTTTAAATTTTGGCGCGTGAATAATCGCAATGTGTGGTTTCAAGAAAAGCTGACGCTGACACTTTTGAAAATATTCTTTAAGGGCCACTGAACGTTCTAGAAGATATTTTAATCTATTCACTATTCATTGTTCGTATGTAGTTATCTTTCCTTCTACTTATTAAAACAAGATTAAAACAATTTAAAACTATTGACATTTACCGCCAAAATTCAAAGCACTCCAAGTTCACTCGCGCCCTCTACAAAATTTTGGGGAACTTAACTGGATATTTGCTGCTATTGTGGGTCGGTTTCTCAATAGCGAGTCACCCCCGGGTTAAGTATAACTCTGGGGTAAACATAGCAACTCGACACGCTTACCCTGGAGTTAAAATTAACCCGGAGGTGACTCGCTATTTACTGCATTCCTTTTATACATCGAGTTACACCGAACGAGCTCCTCGGAGTCACTCCAAAACACACAATTCAGATTTTATCATTATTTTTTAATATTAACATTACCGTCCCTAAAAGGAGTTCTTGCTCTCCCCGCAAATTTGGTGCATCAGGGGAAAGGGGGATCCACTATTAGGCAATTCAAACCACGTGACATTCAAGATGGCGTGGCGGCCATACATGGACAAAAAAACACAAAAAAATATCTAGTTTCTGCCCGAATTAATAGTTTAGGTACCTAGTCAACAAATATTTTATTAAATAATGAAAATCAAAGTTGTAAGGAAAACTGTATGCAAAATAATTTAAAATACGCATAAAAACATATTCAAAACAAACTTGTTTGGCCGCCACGTCACATTGAATTTTCCTTTTTGACAGATGGATTGAATTGCCTAATACTATGAGCGACTCGAGTGCTTAACGCACTTTTAAAAGGAACGTTTAAGCTTTTGACATTGAGTTCCGAGTAACTCAATAGGTAAAAGGAATACAGTAATTGAGAAACCGGCCCTGTAGGGATTATAATTTAATGGCTAACTTCACACTTGAAGCCTGACAGTTACGAATGGAGGTTGGAATTTTTGGCAGAAGAAGTTAAGGTTAGAACTAGAACGTTTAGAAAACGATTTTATAAGGGGATCTCGATTAGGGCCAAATTACAGTATATTTGCATCTGCAAATTTGCAGTTCTGCAAATATGGCCGACTTGCATATGTGCTCTATTTGCAAAAACGAGCAGAAAAAATCTGCAATTTCGTCATATTTATCGGAAAAGAGTGTTTGGGCGCTACTGATTTACCAGTTTTAAATGTCAAAGTTGTCAAAGTGATTGCAAGGACTTGCGGGACCCACAGATCCTTTCATCATGCGCAAATTTGCAGGCGACCTGCAAATGCTTTCTGCTTCTGTAATACGAAAAGTCAGACTTGCAGGTCCTGCATTTGTATCTTAGTGTTGCAGAACTTCTGTAGTTCCAGGCAAGTTTATTATTCTTGTAATTATGAAAAAATTGTGAAAAAACCGATTGGTAAATACCTACTTGTTTATGAAATTATATTGAAGGGGTTTTTATGTGAAAAATGAAGCCACAGTTAAAAAAAGTGAAATTTGAAGAATCATTTATTAGTGACCCGGCACCTACACAATCAACATTTTATTTAAAGAGATGTTTCAGCCAGACTGTCAATAACTCGTTCGTAAAAACTGCCATCCTCGTCATCCTTAATAAGATCCGATTCAGTATAATCAACGAATCCAGCAGTTCTTGCCCTGGTAGAGAACGAAGCCTCGTTTTGATGCGTTTTAGTGAGGAAAATCGTCTTTCGCAAGTTACTTGCGTCAACGATATTGTGAGGATTGTACAATACGCTACATATAAGTTGGAGTACGTACTTATGTGCATGTTGCATTGAGACAAAAGTTTACATGCAGGTGATCTCTTGCAGGCAAGCAGCTATTGCTGATCTCTTCTTGTTCTTCGTCTTCTTCCTCACTCTGAGAATCTGAATCATGCGTACTGGCGGCTAACTTGACTGGCTATAGCCCTCGCTAGTTTGCGCCTGTTTGGCCAATCGAGTCAGTAGTCAGTGTTGCCAATTTGTACGATGATAATTGTGGGTAAAAGGCCACTGGTACAATATTAACTCTACATACATACATGTGCATGCGCGCATTGATTGGTGGAGTCAAGCAACCTGACTTATTTATAAAAACAAAAAGTTCTTTTCACGTGGCTCCGGTTTAACTAACCGGGTTACAAAACGGTTAGAGAAATGACATACCGTTTTCTAGCCCGGTTACAAAGTGACGTGATGGATATAGTATTTTTAATACCTATTTATAGAAGTACCTGTCGTTTTAGTGACAAAACGTATGTCGCTTCTTGACACACAAATAAAATTAGGTTAGGAATTTCCTATTTGTAGATGAAATTGACGTATTAGCAATCGACGTTCGTTTTTGTTGGTAATTTTTTGTTTCATCTGATTCGTGATTGATAAATAAGGATGGGGTTATTCTAAATGGGTACTACAAATACTATACCTACCACTCGAATTTGAGCGGTATGTTGTGGTTTGTTAAACCGGAGCCACGTGAAAAGGGTTAAAGCATTATCTGAGAGGGGCCCGCACAAGCCAGGGCCCGGGTGGCAAATGCCGCCCTGACCCTATGGCCAGTCCGACCCTGTAGAGCTTTACTTATATTACAATGTATGTATTTGAATATTTACGTAGGACTTGAATTGATTCTTTGTTTATTTCAATTTGGAATTAATAATAAAATTTAAAGGCCTTTGGGGGAAGGGGGCAAATGCCACTTTATCCCCTTTCCTGGCCACGCCAGTCGCCAGTGGGCAGTACCAGTACCGGTGCGATTCGCCTTAACTGGGTAGGTACAAGCTAATTCGTCTTATTACTCCCTATGTGTCGAGTAGGTTTTAAAGTCTTTTTATAAATTGTCCATGATAAACTAGGTAAAAAAAGCCAGTGTAATGGTACATCATGATATATTCATGTGATGTGAACATACCTATCATGAAAACGAACGGAAAGGAAAATAATAATAGAACAACTTATTGAAAATACAGGTGTGAATACTACACAAAATATTCAAAGTGTTTGTTGAAGTAGGTAATATCAAAAACAACAAAAACATTAAACACACAAGTTTGATATAAAAATGAATAGTTAGGAACATGAACTCATGAACTCAATATTTCTGTGCCTACCCACACCTACTACATACAATACCAAAATCACTATGGGGGCTCAAGCCCCCATTGCCCTCATGGTTCCGGCGCCTGTGTCCTTATATATAAGTTAGTATTGTCTGTATTAGTAATATTAGTAAAGTATCGCACGCCGGCAAAAAAACTTGAAAATTGTTGGGGATGCCGCTGGGCTTTGTCGCTTGCCGACAAAGCTAAGCCGCTCTTGTTGACAGTGTGAGATATTCTCTTTAGAAGTGGACAAAAATATGAAATTACACAGATAATTGAATAAAAATCAATTTCAAATTTGAATTTTTAATAAAGGAATAATAGTCCCATTCAAATATTTATATTTGATTTATTTCAATAGTTTAAAACGGAATTTTAAGGATTACCTACTATATGAATTTTGCCCATTTATTTAACGTATTAACTCCACTGTATTTTAGAGGTAAATCAGCTAGAATTTCGGGGCAATGGCGTTCGTCATTTCAGTTTTTATAGAAATATCTGGAGTATGTTTATTCTTTATTAATCAATTTGTTTTCATTTGTCATGATAATAATATTTAGACGCCTATGTATTCCCACGTGACTTCAAAGAGATCAACTGAGCCGCCTTTTTTATGAAATTTCAATTAATAATGGTTAAACTATACCTACTAATAATTATTGAGAAGAGTGAAGGTCTAGAAAAGGCGCCTCATTTATACCCTCATCAGTCATTTTAGTTTGTATAATACCTACTAACTCTTTTTGTCGCCTTTGACGAAGACAGGAACCAGTGGCGCACCCAGAAAATATGTTTGGGGGGGGGGGGGGGCTAGGTACATAGTGGCTTGTGAATGAAAGTCTAAAAAAAAGTTTAAGGTGTCAGGGTGCCACGCTTTGATGTTGCTTCGTTTTTTAAACGTAAAAATTCAGTTTCCAGAGGCGGCCTGGGAGGGGCCCTGGCCCGATAGCCACCTCCCCTGGGTGCGCCACTCACAGGAACCATCATTAGTCTGTTACCAAGAAAACTGGTTCATTTACAATTTTATATTCACTGGATTCAAATACCTACATAATTACTATCACGTCCGAACTCCTATAAGAAGTTTACACCTCGGTTTACACTACACAATAAATATAAATAATAGTGTACTTTGCCACCCTAAATGGCGACCCGGTAGACAAAAACATCACAACTTACCCCAGTAACGAACGATTCTCACTTGTAAACGTACCCTCGTATCGAAAAAATCATTTTCGGTGTGAGCCGGACCGGACCACCATCAACCTGACGTAAGCGCCGACGTTGCCACATCAACGTACAGAATCAACTTGTTATACGTTATGCAACTATTGCGTGTGACTGAGACAGAAAATCGTTATGTGGGCGAACATGAATGCATAGTAAACACTGGCCAATCACAGACAGCCAGGAACCAGGCCTACCTTGTCATCAATGGAAGCAGGGTCGATCCATTCGAGACGAAAAGGGGCTATCGGTTGCCCGTTTAAAAGGTTTTAGTCGGTTTTTAAAGGGTTTTATAAATATTCCATGCGGTTTTGTTATAAGGGATTGTTCCGGAACTGATTATTGTCATATTTGTAGTGTTTTATTGCGGTTTTACGCAGTTAGATGGTGTTCAGTGATCTAGGAGTGTTCCCTTGTAGTAATAATAAGATCGACCCGCTGTGATAGTGGAGATCAGCTGAACTATAGCTTTCCGTACATTGTACAAATCAGTAGTAGTAAGAACCCGGTAAAGAATAGTTCGTGGCCTAAGACAATCTATTTATGGCAGCATAAAAAAAAATCTAAATTTTTCAAATTTTCATTTTCGGGCAATTACGGTGTTCTTGAAAATTTCCGTCCCGGCTTAAAAAATTTAATTTACATTAAAAAAAAATAAATAATAGAAAATCGTCTTCAAAGTGGCGAACCAGTCGGGAAACAATAGAAAAAAAGACATGCTTAAATTTCTTACGCACAAATTAAAAACTCAGTCCATTAACGAAGAAAACTACAATCAAAAGGTAAATAATTTTTAATATTTTTTACAATCGATTGTTTTTATTTTGGTACGAGTGTGTGTAAAATCATAGTAACCTCGCTGAAGGTCACAGAAAACGTAGAAAAAAATGGCTGCTGTGGGTCGAAACAAGTTGAGGAACAAAGGAATGTACGGTTCAGGAGCTTGCCTGCTTTCTAATTCCTGCCAGAACTTGTCCGATGCTAATTGCCCATTTACTAAAAGAGCTTTCAGCGACCTATTGACTCTGACTCTTGAAGCAAAAGTAAATGGGATTTTTTGGTCCATCGAGCCGGATAATGTTGTTTGTCCTGGACCCTGGCTGAAGAAAAAAATTAATAAAAAGAAAAAAAATCGATATCCAATTTGATATAGCGTGGAAACAAAGAAAAGTTCAAAAAATAGGGGTTTCTTTGTTGAAGAAAACACACTTTGCTTATTGATGGAACAAATAGAGTGCGTGCATGTGTAGGCAATAAAAATTAATCTCTTCTTAGGGGGTCTCTCTAGGAAAAAATCCCCCACCTAATTTAATTTATGATTAGATTAAATTAAATTTCAAACATGTAGGTATTTACCAATACTTATTTTTGAAACTAGTAAAAATGGTCCTTCGAGCCCTGTAAATATTTGAACTACATATTTATTCATTCAAAAAATTTAATAAAAGCACCTAAACATGATAGGTAAGTACTCATCATAAGAACAAAGGAAAAATATATAGGTAGAGAAAAAAGGGTTTCTCGGTAATTCAAAATAACATGCTTCTAAATGTTTTTAGTAATCTCTTGAATCCTCTCCTTGACGCAAATATATTTTTTTGGGCCTTCGAGCTGGATAAATATTTGAACTTTTTTTGTTGGGGGGACCTGGACAAACAAAAAAATCAATATCCTAAGGGATTAAATTTGATACAACATAAGAACAAAGGAAAATACGTATTTATTGAAAAAACACACTTTACTCGTTCAAACAAAAAGTGTGTGGGCATTCAATAAGTTTCGAACACATAATATTTTCTCGTTCTTTTTCTTGAATAAGTATGACAGAAGTTTTATCGGTCTTATGAATCAGACGTTTTAAGATTTAATAAAACCCAAAGATATACAGTACGTACTTCTTTGTCTGATCATAATGTTGTTTTGTGTAAAGTTCACATCTGAGGTTCACATGATCCCCTTAAAAAAAACAGCAAGGTTTAAGCAGGGCAGAATTTTTAGTTCGCCAAAATAAAAAACCCTGGTATACCAAAGGACTTAAGGTGTCCTTTGAGAATCTTCGAAATCTTCACTATTATTAGAAATTTCACACCTATTCCAACAACTCGGTCAATCTACAAAAAAACTTATAAAGTTACCCAACAGTGGCGTGTCAATCCAGCTCCGGGCCTGTGTGCCAAAATCTCCGCGGGCCCATTACAGGTCCTCCTTTTGGGTGCCACGCCAAAATTTTGACACAAAAGTCGTTCAAAAAACATTCCTAAATTTTTTTTTAGGAATATTTTTTGTTGTGATCCTTCAGTGTTTTGCCTTGGTTAAAACTACTTTTGTTTTTGGTTTGAAACTTGTAGCTTTATTAGGTAATGGAATATAGAATGAAATTGAACTACAGCAAAAGTAAGACTTATTATATGTCAGCCAATCTGTCACAGACACCTTTCATAACAACATGGGAGAGAGAAGATTTTTGCATCTCTGCTGCCTGATTTATAAAATTATAAGGAGTTCTATTCCTATGTATCTCCTCGAATGGATGGTTAAGCGAGGTGATATACATCAATTTAACACACGTAATGGACAAATATTATTAAATATTCCACAACATCGCTGTGAACTATTCAAGTCCTGTTTCACCTACTTGGTAGCACACACATATAACTTTTTTCCACAGATGTTTTCATTGAATATAATAGGATTTGGGAATAGGGTAAAAAGTGAAATACGAGATAAGCATTTATGTCTTTAATGTAAATAATTGTATCCCAATGGGGGTTTGCCACTGCCAGTATCATCATTTCAGGTTGTGTAATTATTGTTATTCAAGGTTTTATATTTTATACGTTTTATATTTCATGTTTTATATTTCATATTTTATACATTTTATTTTATACATTTTATATTTTATACATTTTATGTACTTATTGTGATGATTATTGTGATATTTTATTATATCTTTACTTGTTTTAGTTAATAAGTGATATTAAATTATTGAATTGGTGGTTATTGAAAAACGCTTTGCGGTCTAATCACCATTTGATGTGTACAGGGTTTTTCTCTTCTTTGTTCTCATCAATAAACCGATTTTTATTTATTTATTATTTTATTTATTTTATTTTAGAGAGAGTTTTAACAAAATGTGTTACTACGACTGAAGCTGTCTTAAGACTGTCTTCTTGCTTCACTAGATCTCTTACAAATCGACCTTTACATCCCTTCTAAAACGTTTCTAAAACCTACATAATTACAACTGGAAAACCCTAAATAAATATTGGCAATAAATGACAGTCTGTTCGCCCAAAGAATGACCATTAAGGATATTTGGGAATTTTGGGGTTTATAGTGGACAAATGTTTAATTTATTTACATACAATATCTTTGGGTTCTTTAACAGAAAGTCTGGGTCATATAATAATATTGCTTTCGGCGACGGCGAGACATTATTTGGGAAAGTATTCGAGGGTCGTAAAAGGTACAATGTCATGATATTATGGAGGAATATGACATTTTCCTTTAAAGGGGGTGTGCGCCAATAATTAAAGTTTTAGTGTAAAAAAATCTAAGAATAACTGTTCAAACCTCGTTATTCTACGATAAACGATCGCTGAGATATACCGCTTTAAAATGTGTGTGACGTCACGAGAGCTTCGTCCATCCGCACTCCGCATTGTTAATTTGATTGTTCCCGGCACGCGTCAGTGGTTTTTGTTTAGATTATTGCAGGTGACACAGGAAAAACATATGTAAATTCAATTTACTTCACTTTATCGTGCGTCGCTTGAGCTTTCGTGACGTCATAGGGTGGTACCTTCATAGAGTGTGCGGTTTTCACTGTTATTCTTAGATTTTTTTTTCTCTTTTTTTTGAGATGAAGTTGTTTTTTTTGCGCACACACCCTTTAAACGGTAAATTGTGAATTCATTATTTTCGAAACTGGTATGAATAACTATGTATAGTATTTTTAATCCAACTTGAAACACTTGAAAAACCTCTAGTCGGCATACATCAAACAAAAAAAGGGCATGGGCGTCACATAAATTTTATTTCTTTAAATAGTGATAATCAATATCAAACAACACAACTAAATAGGTAATACGTGGAATAAAATAGCAAATAATATATAAATTGGGATGACACTGGTTATAGAAATCGCGTAGTCTAGTCAACAGTTGCACCTACATCGTTCCCGGGAAAACATAAGTTGTTCACCCCAATAATTAAACCTATAGGCACGTGCCGACTTAAATTATTAATTTGGGCAACTGTAGCGATATTTCGTCGCTACTTATATTTCATACCGGGTGATTGTCTATATTTTGCACACATACCTATCTCACCTGTTTGAAGAGATACCCAGAAATGTCAAATGTTAAAGTTCTAGGTAATATCAAAGAATATTATAGACTAACGTCTCTAGAAGACCCGTCCGCTAGCGAAAATATAAACCCGCGTGATGGCGCTGGTGTCCTAGTAAAATCCGTCGTTTCTGCGATTAAATTAATTTGAGGGACCAAATGCACGCGTATTTGTTAGGCTGCGTTGCCAAGTTGTCTTTTGTATAACAAATTAAATGCCTGTGTTTTATATAGGTACTTTTTATGCATATACCTACTATAGAATAGGAATATTATTATAATTAAAAACAATATAATAAATAGGTAAATAGTTATGTATTTTTGTGTGTAGTAATTTTCTGGTACTAATAAATAGAGGTATAAAACACAACGGATTTTGCTGAAATTTAGCATACTTTTCAAGTTCAGGTGATTAGGTGATAATACATTTTATTTACGACTAATGTATAATGTGCTTATTATATTTGTGATTTTGGCAGTATAATGACATATGTTATTCCTCCAGGGATTAATGACGAGTAGCGGGATTAATGGTCATTATTCCACAAAAGTGTCAGTGTCAAACGTGTAGTGCTTGTGGATTTGTATTGAAAATTATGAGACGGATGAAATTTGTTCATTGAAAATCTCAAATAAATTAATTTGTCGTAAATAAAGTAGAGTATACTACTCGCAATAATGGCTATTATTCCCTCGGAATGTTACTCCCTCGCCACTAACGCGGCTCAGTTCGTAATAATCCTCGGGAATAATAGCTATCATTATTGACTCGTGGTATAATCTACTATTAACCACTAATGAAAGGTGTAAATTATTGTCAAATGTGACAGGTGCAGATTTTTGAACCAATATTTCGCAACGGATTTTGCTGAAATTTTGCATACACTTTAAGTTCGGGTGATTATACATTTTAGACCACTAATGACAGATGTCAACTGTCAAATGTGACAGATGTAGATTTGTGAACCATTTCTTCGCAACAGATTTTGCATAATTTTTAAGTTCAGGTGATAAAACAATTTGGAATATTCAACAGCTATCGAATGTAATTTTTGAAAGCTGTCAAAATATGACAGGTCGAGAGGTGGGCAGGTTGTCAGCATTACCCCCGTCTTTGAAAAGCTTTTTTCGACAAATAGACAAATTTCAAAAATAAATAACCCATAATTTTGCACACCGATTTTCAAAATTTGCACACTCTTTTGGGGAAAGTTGTATCGTATCAAAAATTTGCATAACCACCTCCCATTTTTAAAAAAATTGATAGACCCCTGTGCTACTGGTAACATTTAATTTTGGACAATTTTGCACACCTATATGCAAATTTTGCACACTTTTCTGAGAAAAGTTATGAGGTGTGATAAATGTGCACTTTTTTCCCCGTTTTTCTGAAACTTGAAAAATTCTTATGCTACTCGCCTCGGCTAATTTTG